CTTTAGTCACCCGACGCTCTTCTCCAAAACTAGGTGAACATTTTCTGAATGTAAACCCCTACTGCCATCTTCTAATGTACTGAAACACCTAAGCTACGCAAATTAAATAATAGTTTATATACTGAACTAACCTATTGTTAAAAGCAATCGTGAATATTTAAGCTGACGTTTGATAATTCTATCCCAAAGAATATTCCTGATCCCTAACTGCTTCAAAACACACACACACACACACACACACACACACACACACACACACACACACACACACACACACACACACACACACACACACACACACACACACACACACACACACACACACACATACACCTAAGCCTGTTCATCCCACCACAACAAGGGGCACCTAACTAGCCTGTTCATCCACCTGAACAAGGGGCAAGAACTAGCACAGGAACGTCAAAAAAGTTGTATTTTTCTCAAATGAGTGAAAGATGTCAGTCCGAAAACATTGTGTTTGTGTCCGCCAAGAATACCTTTCTGATGATATCATTGTAGAACCACGTGCCCGTCCAAACCAAAGAAACACTTAAGATCTGATATCATTGTAGGACCACGTGGTTGTCCAAGCCAAGGAAACACTTATGATCTGATATCATTGTAGGACCACGTGGCTGTCCAAGCCAAGGAAACACTTATGATCTGATATCATTGTAGAATCATGTGATTGTCCAAACCAAGGAAACGCTTATGATCTGATATCATTGGAGAATCATGTGATTGTCCAAGCCAAGGAAACACTTATGATTTGATATCATTGTAGAATCATGTGATTGTCCAAACCAAGGAAACACTTATAATCTGATATCATTGTAGAATCATGTGATTGTCCAAACCAAGGAAACACTTATGATCTGATATCATTGGAGAATCATGTGATTGTCCAAACCAAGGAAACACTTATGATCTGATACCATTGTAGAACCACATGGCTGTCCAAGCCAAGGAAACACTTATGATCTGACATCATTGTAGAATCATGTGATTGTCCAAACCAAGGAAACAGTTATGATCTGACATCATTGTAGAATCATGTGATTGACCAAGCCAAAGGAAACACGTATGATCTGATATCATTGTAGAATTATGTGATTGACCAAGGTACAGTAAATAGACTGAAGGTACAGTAAACAGACTGCTCGACACAGCGGCTGTGTAAAGCTAACCTATCCACACAACCCGTCGCGTTTCATTCACCACTGTTTGCACAGCACACGTCAACATTACCTTGGTCATTGTACTGGGATCAGTCAGTTCGTAGAACATGCACACTCAAGTACTATAGTAGGATAAACACCAATGCTTAATCGATCTCCTGTAGATCTTCAAGACCTTTTATATTCGACTGTAATTTATTGACGATGCAGATTAAATGTATGTGTATGCTCGACGTGGCAGAGTGACTTTGGTTCCACGCCACTGGGGACAGGTTTTCAGTTATATACCGGGGAGGGGATGTTTGTGGTTTTGTGTGTGTGTCAGGGGCAAGGAAAGGTTAGTTTAATCAATGGATAATGTTAAGAACAGATTATCTTTAATACCGCCTAGCTAATTTTAAAGCACCTGATACCACGGGACCATCTGTGAGTGAGTGAGTTTTACCCCGCCTTAAGCAATATTCCAGCAATATTACGGCGGGGGACACCAGAAATGGGCTTCACACATTGTACCCATGTGGGGAATCGAACCCGGGCCTTCAGCGTGACTAGAGAACGCTATGACCCTATTAAGGTAAGTGGTACAAATCTAACTATTTTCGCTCAAGTTATATTTAATAGACGACTTCTATGATCTAAACATACATTTTAAAGGATATATTTTAGTATGTGTGGCTTCAATCATATTGCGGATGCGGTTGAGATCGTTACGTAATAACATTTCCCATATCTATGGTATCTAAAGAGCGTGAGTGAGTATGGTTTTACGCCACTCTTAGCAATATTCCAGCATTATCATTATCAGAAGTGGGCCTCACACAATATTCCCATATGGGGATTCGAACCCGGGTCGTCAGCATGACAAGCGGACGCTTTAACCATTAGCCTACCCAACCGACCCGGTAGCTTGACATGTGTAGTTTATGGTCTTCACGCTTGAGTAGACAGGGATGCTGACTTGTATATCGTTTCCAGGTAATGTTATAGTTATTATACGGCTTTGTTACAGTCTTAATGTCTTCAGATGTGACGTCCCCTTCATGCATAAACATGAGGTGTTAAACTGATGAACCCTATAAAATGTATTGTAGCCAGGCCAAAATATTTTATTGGCATTATTCCAAACTATACACCTATGATATACGACCACTTGACACACTGAATCGTACAATATACTTCGTCATCCACTATCAGGCCTTGGAATCCGTTTGTCATCATGTGAGTGAGTGAGTGAGTTTGGTTTTACTCCGCTCTTAGCAACAGTCCATGTGTTGTGGTGAGCAGTATCAAATAATTAAATGGAGAATAGACCGTGCGGGTATTTATATACATCTCTTCAAAAGTTTAGACTCACTTAAAACACTTACTATATGTTATGTATATATATATGGTTACATTGAAGATTGATTTTTCCACTAACTTGGGGGAACCAACTGCAAACTTTATGCAGATGAATTGCTCGAGGGTCATGCATCAATTTGCTGAAAAGCATGTGCAAATATCGTGCATGTGAACAGCTGCGTTTTGGTGTAAAGCTTTGTTAAGAATTCGCTAATTTTCACTGATTTTTATAATTTACTGAACTCATGACAATCATCTTTTCAACGTTACGAATTTGTTTTACAATACACCAGTTCATGTGTAAACAGTACCTTTACAGTATGGAATATTTTGCAAAATATAGTTTAGAACACTTGCCTGAAGTAAGTGGCTACATTTACACTAGTGATTCTAAACTTTTGATGAGAAGTATATTAAATTTTTTTAAAATGTTTTTATTCATTTCAGATAGGTATCCATGTTAGGGCTGGTTACATTTTGGCAACAAAGAGTTACAAATTTTCAAAGTAAGAAAATATAGTTACTAGTATACAAAGTCAGGGAGTGCACGACTCCAGCAGCAAACTTCATGGGTTACAGGCATGCTCGAGCTAGTTATACATCAGCAACAAAGATTTACTAATTTCGAAATGTGGAAACATAGGTACATAAAGTCAGGGAGTGAACCACTCAAGCAACAGACTCCATTGGTTACAGGCATGTTCTAGCTAGTTATACATCAGCAACAAAGATTTACTAATTTCGAAGTGTGGAAACATAAGTACACAGAATCAGGGAGTGCATCACTCCCTGCAACAGACTCTCTGGGTTACAGGCATGTAAGAGCTGGTCATACATCAGCAACAAAGAGTTCAAATTTTCAAAGTGTGATAATATAGTATACAAAATCAGAGATTACACTACTTCAGTTGCAAACTCCATAGGTAAGGCACTTGGAGCTGGTTATACATTGGCACCAACAAGTTACAAATTTTCAGAGTGTGAAAGTATAGGTACAACAGTCGGGGAGTACATGACTCCAGAGACAAGCTCATGGGTTACCTGCATGTTGAGTAATTAATATTATTATCATTCTTCTTCTTATCATTATTATTATTATTATGTTTTATTACATTATTATTATTATTATTATTATTATTATTATAGGATATTTATATGATGTTAAAACCTGGTTATCGTCGACAACAGAGTTACTAATTTCAAAGTTTGCAAGGATGGGTATAGAAAGACAAAGTGCAAACCTCCAGCAGCAAACTCATGGGTCGTAGGCATGTTGGAGCTGATTATTTATTGGCCCAGAGACTTGCAGATTTTCGAAGTTCGAAATAAAGTTATTAGGATGAGAAGTATATTTACATTGATATCTTGTGGTGAACATATCAAAAACCCTACCAATGTCCACAACGCCAGTAGTGTGATACTCACATGTTAAGGAGCGGTTGGGTAGCATAGAGCTTAAAGCGTTAGCTCGTCACGCCGAAGACCCGGGTTTGATTCCCCACATGAGTACAATGTGTGAAGCCCATTTCTAGTGTCCCCCGCCGTGATGTTGCTGGAATATTGCTAAAAGAGGAGTAACAACTCACTCACTCACAAACGGGTTCCAAGACCTGGCGGTGGTATATTGTACGATTCAGTGTGTCAAGTGCTCGTACATTATATACGTATTGACGCCAGTGTGTATTTCCCACACAAGACATCGAAGACGCTTACCGATATGTACCAAACAGAGACAATAGACAAAGAGGTTGCATCGATAACTGTTCCGCAAACGTCAACTAATCGGCGACACAATTGTCATTCAGGCTCAAACGGATATATAGTAACAAATTGATAATTGATAATTAATTATCTTATCTGAGTGAGTGAGTGAATGAGTTTAGTTTTACGCCGCTTTTAGTAATATTCCAGCAATATCACGGCCGGGGACACCTCAAATGGGCTTCACACATTGTACCCATGTGGGGAATCGAACCCGAGTCTTCGGCGTGACGAGCGAACACTTTCACCACTAGCCTACCCAAACGTCCCGGTGTCAGCAAAACGACCACGAATGTGTCATTTGGTCGAATAAATATCTGCTATGAGTAACTTGTAGACAAATAGCGCACGTATGTAGATCACTCGCGAATGTGCACTGTTGACAGAACTGCAATAAACTACAGCGCCTTGCTGCTCCTGCGGCGGTGCTAGACAGTTTAACAGTGCAGGAAATATATCGTACCCGAGAATTGTGTGTTTCTTAATACCGATCTAAAGAGAATCCTTTTTACCTGTGTTTAACAGTGCTAAACGTCTCTCCTATGTTGAAGCAACTCACGGCTTGGGCGTTCAATACATTGATTACACGGCACATACTAAATGGTAGAAATGGATGCAAAATATATATTCTACCAGGGTAGAATTAATGACGCTCACTTAACACAGACGCGTAAAAATCAACATCATAAAATGTGTGCAAAATATCTATATATATCCTACCTTATTAGAAACTGCACACGAGGTCGCTTGGTATGAGGGCGACGTGATCAGGCCGTCCCTCTCGTCGTCCTGGCTTTACCGTTAGAAGTGGTCTGTTGACGGGGGAGAAATTAACATCTACTGAGTATACGAGCACCGGGTGGATGAACTCGACCATCAGTCCAGACACGTGACCACCTGAGCACACGGGTTCCGCCGACTGGGGGTAGCTGTAACGACAGCCATTGAGCTGGCGATATATAATCCGTTCAAGCGTTGTGAGAAGGAAAGCGGACTGGTGACATATAGAGTTATCTAACACAAGTCGCGGTGTTTGATTTGACATACATTATCGTAGTTCCCCTCCGCTCTTCTGTCTGTGAACGTACATGCATGAGAGCAACGCATGGATCCCGTATGTCGCGTCACGATAACATACCTGTGTGTGTAACACCAATACTAGAACACACGTGAACAAATAAAAACGAAATTGTTGAATCAATACTTGTTGGATTTGTTTTGCGATTAGACATAGCTGTGTAATTTACGTTTGTGTTGATTGAAACGTTGTAGAAACACAACGACATGTTTTTGAGGTTCTGGATCATTGTAATGATTTCGTAAGCATGACCTATTTTCACCTCCTCTCAAGCCGCGTTGTATAAGTTAGCCGAGGAATGTTTACAGAAAGCGAGTGACAGATTCCACATGCTCGAAGAAACTTTCAACCGCGCATGCGCATACTACATCAAGACAGCGCACCCTGGGTAAAAATCAATTGAAGAGTAAATATTTGGTAAATAAATACAGATTCTCTTTTGTACAGATAATACGTTTCATCGACCCATAGAATACACGTTGTAAGTCTCACTTATAGTTTTGTCAATATACTGTGGCATTAGCTATAGCCCTGTACCATACCTATTTTCAAGTGTAGACAATCTATTACTCATTGTACAGAGGACACCGCGGAATGAGTTTTGTAGATGCCATTACAGAAGATATTTGCAAAAAACATACTCGCTGACCCATGCACTTTCCCATTGTACAATACATCTTTACTCCGTTCAATAAGTAATTGTGGACGCGCACAATCTAGACCAGTGCCGATAAATCGATGACGTCATTGTCAGAAGTTTAGAATTATGATGTAATACCTTCCGTGAAAGAAAACATTAACATATATGTTGATCAAAAGATTACCAACTGTCATGAATAGTACCCATTTAATCCAAATTTTGAAAAAAATGTTAAAACAGACTAAAGGACAAGTTACCTGTTTTGGTGGGTTTTTTTTATTTTAACGTTTTTATTTCCCATTACATGTTTCCATGACATTATAATTATGAGTAGATGTTCACATATACAAGACATACAGAAATAGGTAGTATCTACAGGTTTGGCATAGGGCCTTAGTCGGTGTTGCATTGACCATTCTTTCTTTGCAGATATTACATATAGATAAGTAGGCATAACTGCATAATATATAGGTAGGGTTTTGGTACATAATGTTTCGTATTGTATATGAATTACAACTTGTGTATGTTTGACTGAATCTGGTAACAGGCAAGGTACAAGTCATTTAACATTACCCATTATTTCTAAACAGATGTTTACATGTACATAAGTATACATAGTACAGTGTATGAAAACGCCTACAAGTTACCTGTTGGTTGGCAATTTTTTTTAAAGTAGGCGATTAGCAATAAATGCAAGACACTTATGGTATACACTAAATACAATTATGGGTGACAACGGTATAGGAGTGTGATTTAAACATATTTTTATTCATGAAGATGAATTGGGATTGGTGAACAAGCATTACTGCTTATATTAACACCGCTCCCATGCAACATATAATACAACATGAAAATGGAGGATTTGACGATCGATACTGACCATTGCATAAATATAATATATTTAAAATATATAAATATATACAGATTACACGAAATACAACTATTCTCTAAGTAGTCATAAGTTAGAGAGTTACAGTTGTGTGTGTCTCACAAGCCATTGTAGAAATATAAATCAATCAAGGTTGTTGAGTAAATTTAATTATTTTCCTGAGAAAATTTGAAGCGTTGTGTCTTGGTTATATAATCGTGGACGGATTCAACTATTTTCTGGTTTACACAGGGAGTAAGTATAGGAGTGTGTACCGAAACGTCGCATCATAAAAGAGCGGAGTTGCCGCTCATCAAGGTATCTCTTAAAGAATAAACTAGTATATTAAACCAGGAGACTATATAAGGTATAGAGTATCCCTTAAGGTGTACCGAAACGTCGCATCATAAAAGTGCCGCTCATCAAGGTACCTCCGTTAAAAATAAACTAGCTACACGTATATTAAACCTAGATAAATTGTAACTGTGAGAGCAAACTAGTTGCAACGTGTTTAGTAAACCTAGATAAATGTGACAGAGCAAACTGTGCTGTGTATTCTGCTAAACTCCAAAAGTACCAAGTAATCTGGTGAATGTAGGAGAGATAGCTGAAAAGAATGTTATTATTTTGGTTTTCTGTAAATAGCTCTTCGTGCGTGTGTTATCTGTGACTTTGTCTTATCTGTGAGCCATCGAGCATTATCTGACATATACATGTAATTAGAAAGGTGGTAGATCGCAGCGATATGACAGATAATAGACGTACTTGGCATTAAACAGGGTCATTAGGTTAGTTTTTACAACTGATACATCCTTGTTGAAACAAACATATTGTTCCAAACTGAGACTGAGTACTCAAAGGAAGCATTAACAATGAACAAGTTTTTTAATAATTTATTTGTCCGATTATTACACAGATAGTACACGCACTTGTCATTTAACAGGATCATTAGGTCAGTTTTTACTACCGACATATCCTTGTTGAAATATATGCATTGTTCCAGACTAGAGGCTAAATACTCAACGTAAACAATAACAATAAACATGTTTTCTAAATACTTTATTTTTAGACCATTACCCAATTCTTCCTTATTCTTAACCTATAGTTCTAAATGAATAAATAAAACACTTTAAACTTTGAAATTAGATTTTTTCAAATACTTAATGTGCTTTCTGCACATATCACTTTTACATTCCATTAGAGACATGCCACAGCGAGAAGGGGAACTACATAGCGTGACGGTTATTCTCAGCCTCTCTAATCTGCCTTGACAAAAGGTTTCTTGTGTATAGAGCCGTTTATCATGTAAAACCACATTACTCTCTTAGTACTCGTCTCAGCATCGCTGACATGGTCGATGCATGTATATAAACAGTCTGGACCAGACAATCCAGTGACTCATATTATGAGCATCGACCTAAGCAAATGGGATGTTTTGCCCTGCATCCACCAAATCTGAGCCTGATCATCCGAAACCGTTTGTGCCTCTTACGACTTTATGTATTTCATTTGTGCAATTGTACATTATCTTGAGCACTATCTACGAGTACAAACTAGTCGTTTCAACACATATCCTGGAGAGGTATCAAGTTTTGCTTTTTTACCTTTCCAGATTTCTTTGAAATAAAAATATGTTTAAACCGTATGGTTCAACAATACATATTCATATGTCATGTGCCAACCCATTGTGGTCGACTGTTGGTAATGTCTTTTCCCGAGAAACAATTAACACGAGATGAGATGTCCTCCTCTTCATTGATATTCGACCCTTGCTCACAGCCTGTTTTTCTAAAAAGATGACAGGCCTCCATTGAGCGTCGTTGGGGATGTGTACACGTGTATTCATTGAACCGAGTTGTATGAAACGAGGACGACCGCACAAAGACGTCCGTGACACATACCCACGAGGTCATGAAGTAAGTAGGGCTGAGACGGGTACTCGGGTACTCAAATCCGGGTCCGGTACAGCTGGAATCGAGTACTATTTCTAGGAATCGAGTACCCGGAAAAGGAGAGAAATCTGTAATAGCAAGGGTACATAATAACTTGTCTTTTTCGTTATTGACGTAACACACATTTGAATCACTGGTCTTGTCTGATTAATGGATTTATGGAGGTCATTATTAACGACTGTAATATATCCGAGCATGAGCAGTGAGGAGTCAAGTAACAGTAACAGTGGTAACGAAAAGTCCTGTGTTTTAACGAGGAATGAATCAATGGCGTTACTCTCTATATTTGTTAAACAGACGTAAATTAAATAGCCTACGTTCAGTTTCAGTGTGTTATTGCCATCCTGTCAAGGTTTGTATAAAAATATCCGTCAACTCGTGATTGAATATTCAGAGAGTTGACAGAAGCGCTTTATTCCTTACATTTCCGGGTACTCGATTCCGATTCGGGTAAGTACATGCGGGTACTCGATTCCATTTTTTCCTACCCGTCCCAGCCCTAGAAGTAAGACCACCCGATACAACGACTTGTTAACTCAATTTGTTGTGTATGCAGTCTTAAAGGTTTGTGTATGCAGTAAGGTTTTAAAGAATCAAGGGAACCTCCTCTGTAGGTGAGTGGTGTCGATGGTGTCAGTTCCATGTGTGAGGAATGCCCAGAGTCAATAGATGTTGATCAATTTGGTGTAACCCACAAGCACGGGTATGGTGTAGACCTGGAAACATCATCAAGGCTTGGAACCTCGATCAGGGGTGGTGAGGTAGCCTTGTGTTTAAAGCTTTCGCTCGTCACGCCGAAGACCCGGGTTCGATTCCCTACATGGGTACAATGTGTGAAGCCCATTGCTGGTGTCCCCACCATGGTATTGCTGGAATATTGCTACAAGCGGCGTAAAACCACTCACCCCCTCACTCACTTGAACCTCGATCATAGGGACGCAACTCCAGCTTACAGCGTTTGATTGGTTGATATCCCGCAATACTTCCATCACGATTGTGCTCTTAAACTAACGCAATACATTCTTCTACAAATGACTTATGCGTTTCTTTTTGTTTGTTTGTTTGTTGTTTTTTTTGTTTTTGTTGTTTTTTTTTTTTTTTAAACTCAGTTCTGACCTAGATCTCAACGGGTGTCTAGACATTATGTAATACGATGACTATTCAGAATGAGGAAAGGCAAACAGAAACCTTGTATTCACGACTAACCTGTGCACTACAGTGCACTACACTGACGCATACACTGACGTAACCATGATGACACTATTGATAACATTAGCGAGGTAGCGATGCGTTAACCAACACTTTTTTAATACATAACGTCCTACAAAGGACAGCCCGAAATCAGTTATACCGCACTTTAAGAAACTCGGAGCTGGTAAACAAACTAGCCCTCTGTTCCCGCTTATGAATATGATTGTCACAGATTCAAATGGGCGCCTCATCACATGGGCGCCAACGGGTGTATCGACGAGCAAATGAACGCTACGCAGAGGCATGTGTAATGGAGAGAAATCGCTATGGTGGCGAATCTGTTATGGTATGGGGAGACATCACTGCTCGTAACAGGACACAGTTGGTGACTGAACGGCAATGTGTGCGGTACCGTGATGATTCAACGTCAACGTGGCCCTGGGATCGTATTTCAGCAAGACAACGCACGTCCACATACAGCCCGTGTTGTGCAACAATTTCTTCAACAACAACAACTTGATGTGTTGCCCTGGCCTGCAGTATCACCGGATCTTTCGCCAATTGAGCATGTTTGGGACGAAATTGAACGCCGCCTTCGACGTCTGCCAAAACCCCCCGTAACGCTTCATGATCTCCAAGTAGCGCTTGT